TTATATGATCCATGGAAGGAAAACCCGGATATTTTTATCCAGATTACACCTCTGGAACACTTTGATCTGGGTTTCCATCAGTCAGTGGGACTGCTCTTGATTAATATGCGTGTGATAAATCTGTTGTCCTGTTAATCAAACTATTATCCATTCATCATCTTCTCAGTGAGCTTAAGATCATCACGATATCTACACAAGACTGAGTGAGGTGAAAAGCACGAGCTGCTAAACCTCAGCGTGCTAATGTGACACCACATCGTGAGCATTTCTCTTCTGCTGTTGGAGAATGATGCTACACGCTCTTGCAAAACAATTTCCAGTAATTGCCAAAGATGATGAAGAGATGTTACAGGAGGAAATAGCTTTCAGAGTGAAAAAGTGACAAAAAGAGAAAATGCTTTTGTAATGAGAGAAAAGCTTTTCTATGTTTTACTTTTGCAAGAATAGCAGAGACTCAGTCACCGGGATAAATTGCTGCCATTTAAATCTCTTTTCATCATTTCATGAAAATGGAGAAATAAACCATAAATCACCCTGTAATGTTTGAAAAACCAAACTCTCTGCAACTTCAGTGAAACTGCTGTTTTCCTGACAGGAAATGATACGCTGCACCGCGACTGTCATCTTCTCTGTGTGATGTTCACTCATGTCGAGACGTCGGTGGGATCCACGAGTCGTCCAATAAGCAGGATGAGCCCCGCGTCACAGATTATGAGCATGAACGAGCTGCCAAAGGTTACTCATGGGGGGGCAGAGAAGTCGAGCATGGTGTCAGGTCTCCCCCCGTCCTTTGCCTTAGTTTCTTCCACCTTCAGCGTGACCTCATCAGGTGTGTAAATGTAAGGACATGGAAAAAGGAGCAGTTAGAGGACAGAGTGAGGAGAAGTGGATCTCTAAACGAGGTGAAGGAGACAAGGGAAAAGTAAAAACCTTTTGTTGTGTTTCAGTGTGTTTGGCAGCTTCATGGTTTTCCATTATTTGGTTCTTTCTTCACCTCGAGGAGTGACGGCATCTTTCCCTCCAATAATCCAGAGAAGTTGGCTGTGTGGGAGAAAGTGGATGATACCCCAGCGCTCCTCAGGAGACTCAGTAAATTGAAGGATTTCCTGAGTTGAAACTTAAGGAAACGGATTTCTGCCGCCTGTGGAAACAACAGTCAGTTAATGCGTTTGCTCTGAGAAGCCGTGTTACAACCTGACGTTTCACTGACAGTAATTATATCTGACTAGTAAACGACTCCACCTGACAACAGGAAGCAGTTGGACTGACACAGCTCCACAGACTGTGGATTCAGGAGTCAAAACACTTATCAGTGAACATATTTCACAACGGGGTCACACCTGGACTCACCTCTGCATAAATATGCAAATAACGTGTTTGTGGTGTTCACAGTGTTTTCACCTCACTGCTTCAGAGGTGTTCTAAGGATTATCACAACAACTGGGACACAACGCACAATCCCAGTTTGTGTACCACTTTAAGAAAAGTGATTGTTTTTAATTTG